GTTTATCCCTTCTCGTTTTTCTTCGACTTGTGCGTACTCATGGGGTTCACACCAAGATCATGGTTCAGCATGCATTCATTTCATCTGCAGCTTACCTCACTGTACTATGTATCAATGGTTTCACCTTCGAACGACGCGAAGACCCTTCTGCAAAGAGGTATACCATCACTTAAGTCCCTGCTCGTAAGATAGCTTGAACTTCTATAACTCTCTGGCTTCTTTCTCCTTAGCATTTACCTCCCGAAGACCAGAGACGTGCTTGTCTCCAGCTTCCTTACTCTGAGGAACATTAATCGTATAGTGGTCAGCTCTAAGCTAGGGTATTATCCACCTTCTAAACAATGCATACATTGGTGTATACGTGACGCGTGAACTTGTGCACCGAGATGTGTATGAAACTCAGAAATAGATCTGTTTTGGTTTCAGGGGGATGAGTGGAAATAGTAAAAGTGGGGGGAAACATTTTTTTCTTCTCTAAAATGATGAGTTGCATCAACACTCAGCTTGTCTTTTCACCACCACTTGTGCTGGCAGCAACCACTGCTTGATGACTTATTTTTGACGGCGAAGAAAATCATTTCTTTATGCTTCAACTTACAATCTATGACAGATGAAACACATAACATTTCATTAAATTTTCAGCCAAGAAATCTGCTAGCAAAAAAACTCAAAGATCCAATGTCACGCCCCAAACAACAGGAAGTATACATACAATGGGAGAAAGAGAGGCCTCGGCAAAGTAAGGTAAGACATCCTTTTTTACCCGGTAAAACGGTAGAAATCGGTGGTAAAGGGTAGTCAACGAGTGAGGTAGCGGGTAGAGTAATGGTAAAGCCGATCCCACTACCGATAACCAGGTAATCACAGGTTTACATAATGAAGTCTTACATAAGGTCTTCTGTGTAGCATTTGCAAGTTTTGAGCAGCTCCGTAGAGGGCCTGACCCGGACCAATGACATGTTGGTCTCTAATATATTTCCCCAACATTTTGCCAGTGCAACCAACCCACATTGCGTCTTTTCTAGCTAATTTGGGGTGCATTATTGGACTCTGTGTTTCCAATCTTGCACCCTGATTGGGGAGGCTTGTGTTGGTCTCTCATGATTACTGATCAGCATTTTACAGTATGCATTTGCCATTTATTGAAAAATCCGCGTAAATGGATAGAACCGATGCAATTCAGAAATTGCATCGTCGATCGCTCCGCCAGCAACGTCACCCAGCAAAAATAGGGTGCTGCCAGTACAAACGGTGACAAAAATACAAGCTAGGTTTGTGCGTAATATTAAGACTTACCGAATAATGCAAAGCTGTTTGTCAGGTCCCAAAGATTTGTGGTGTATCAGCAATTTACGGAGCTACATATGTTGGTAAAGCTATAAGTGGTACCAATAATTTGGCCAAGCATTTGATGAACAAGCATCAGGTGCATTATAAGCCACCTGAACAAGATGCAATGTGTGTACATTAAAAATCGTAAAATGTGTGTGCATCGCATAAGCTAATACAATTGAGTTTTATATGAAGGCCTTTCTCAAACTGTTTCTGGAGCATTCGTTGCATCACCGGATTGTGGAATATAGGCATCTGCGTGATCTTCTCGAGCTCTGCTATCCTCATGCAACGAACTCTTTATAATTGTCAAAAAACGACAGTCAAGCACATTCGATAACTCATACAAGCTTGCAATTAAAATGATTGGAAGATGCACAGGCGTCTATACGATGTGAGCGTACAACGAAATGCGTTTGATGATCAGTGGAATAGGCACGATAAAAATTAAAAATAGTGCGTGAAGAGCAGGTTCATGGCAGAAAAAAAGATGCACGTTACAGATGCACACGTATGGACGTCAACCATGCATAAAATGCTACTCGATTTTAATGCATACTAAGACGTACATGTCTGCCAATTTGACGATTTCCTTGAAGACTTTGCAGCGTGAACGCTTGATTTGCCCACTTAATCCGAAACACGTCTGGGAGATCAATTTCGAATCTGGATCATGTGTTTCACGCAAGTGTTTTGGACCAGATCCTAGGTAGAGGTGTGACCCGGACCAATGGCCCTGGGTTGGAGCCCTATCCTGTTATTACAGATTCCAATACGGAGTGCGCCACTTAGTTTTGACCTCCCAGAGAGCAGGAAGAAATCATTTGAAAGTCAATGCTCACGTCTTATTTAGATTCCGCATTCCGAAGCCTATGTATTCATGAACGTTTCAACGGCGGCGGCGACGACAAAGACGCCGACGTTGAGACCCGCGGCGCCCATTACAAACCACCCATTATTTACATCTCTCGTAAGTGTTGAACACTTAGAAGGGAGAAAATCATAGTGGTTATATCGCTGTATGCATGCAGGTGGTGGTATTTTTTTATTCATTGTAGTTTATAAATGTTACAAGGTACGACAGTTACATGTAATTTACCTTTAATACTTGTCAATTAGAACATTTCCTAAAGGGCTGGTAACGCTCGTGAATATTACCATAAAGGGTAATATTCACAAACATTCACCGATTGGATGAAATGGGTCATCATATCAGCCAGCTCTAGCGGTCAGACAACGATGGTAGCGCGCAATGAGTGGTGAACAAGACTTTAGCCTACATTTTAGCGGATAAAAAGACTCAAGTTAGGACTAAAACATAGATTAATGATCAGGACTTAATTATAATTAATGCATTACTTTTACCAGCACTAGTCAGTTTCTAGTTGCTTTCCCTTCCTCTTCCGAATTACAGACGTAACGAGGTATCTCTCACGCTGCTGTAGGTGATAATATCTCTGCAATGGTTGTCCTGTGTGTTTCTCTGGTGTCCCGTTACAAAATTCTTATTTTTAAGTTTCCTGCGCCTATGGATGGATGCCGGTATCCTCAAAGTGCTGATGAATTGAGCGCAAGATGCGGCCGCACTCGTACAGCCCGGCGACAATGACAAGCAATCCGTCGTCAGCAGGTCGAAATAGGTCCGGAAAATGAGATGAGGACTCTTTGACGACGGGGTGGTTCAGTTGACTCACATCCAGTTTGTCGACATGATATTTGAGGCTGAATGTGAGCCCTGATAAAAAACGTTAGGGCGAATTGCGCTCGCTTTTACCACCGGGCGTACAGAACTCTATCCTACGCCAGTTCACTCAACCAATCTATACTGATAGTCCACATGTAACGTGGCACCGGAGCAACACACTGGACTACCAGTGTGGAGCTGCCATCACAGACAGGTGCAACTCCATTTGTCTGATCAATTATACAACGCTTGTTTACTGGGTAATTACCCAGGTAAATGGGCAGAGTAAGGAAAACGCAAAGGTATTCACAGACCAAAAGGGTAAAGGTAGTGGTAAGCCAAAGGTAGAACAAGAACCAGTGCCCGGCAATCTTTTACATTACCTTGCCGATGCCTAGATACAGAGCTTACTACGTAATCCAAAAGTAAAAGGAAATGCGCATTTGGCTGATTGCTAATGCAACAACAAGTAAGTTTAAAAGAGAAACAAATGGGTCTTGGTCCAGGTCTACCCCCAACCCGTTACCATACCAGCCGGGTCAAACACCTGGTCGACCCAACAAAACCTGACTCGGGTCGGACCCCTATTTATTACGACGCGTAAGTACCCGCTAGCGTTATCCACAAGAGAGACTATTTCTATCGCACTTGGTATGATGTGTACGTATCACCTAGCCATCTTCACAGACACACACAGAGGCTGACAAAATTTTTGTAAGTTCGGCATACACCTTCGGCATAGTCACTGATAGCTTACCGTTCGGGCTTGCAATAAAGCTCGCCGTCTTCGCGTTCCCTCTCGTTGCTCGCCACCACCATTGGATATTCTACATTTAGGCGCGCCGATGCATCCGTCTCATCCTGTGCAGCCTATGATGTCTACCCCTCTTTCTATTACGCTACAGATTCCACCATCACGCTATCAGCTACCTCTGCGCCGTCACAAATGCACTACTCCAAAAAAAAAACTGGAACCCCCGTAGCACAATATTAGGTCGCAGGTTCTGCTTTTACTGGAAGTTTGATAAACGGGACAGCAATGGAGGGAAAGAAAAAGTGGCTGCACTCGCAACATCGGCCGACACAGTAAATATAAGACAAGTGGATAGCCGATATGGCATGTACGTGCATGAAAGTGGATAGCCTATATGGCATGTACGTCTATGTTGCGAAAATGACGATGTTATTAGGAGTTACATTTTCCAGCCAATACTGCAGCAACAGTTTGCCTTAGTGTGGGAGCTATTGCTCAATAGAAACGACCAGTTCGTCAAGATAAAGCGCTTGTAGACAGCATCGTTAATAAGATAAACGACAACCTCAACGACCGGAGTCGGAAGAAAGCTGTTTGAATTGACGTGTTGTCTTGAATATTGTCCGGTTGAGCGCTTGAGCTGTTCGGTTTACCAGGGCACAAAACGTTCAGGGAAGATTTTGTCCTAGCCGAGTAGTACTTCGAGCGCCGACCACAAAAGCAAAAAGAGTCGAATACTGGCTAGGTTTAAACAGCCAAAAATAAACGCAAGTCTTACCTGATCCACCGTACAAAAATGCGTGCACTCTTGTCTCCTGGTGAGGGTTCGCTGCAGCTACGCGGCGTCGCAACCATTGAATTTTCGAATGCGAGCAATGACGACGGTCTCATCCGCCTCTTCACAATCTCACGAGCACCTGGAGTAGTATACTTACCCTGGCTCAGGGTGGGGTAGGTACCGCCAAACGCGTCTCGTGCAGTTGTGTGATGCGCAACAGTACGCACCCTGACACAGAATATTGTTGACAGTGTCCACGTTGTTCGGATGGTAAGCGCTGGACCGTTGGTCTCATCTGGACAACCTGGAAACTCCACCTCATAGCAGTCAGTCTCTCACTTCAGCTAATTTGTCGACTCGCAGCTCAACTGCCAACTCCGCAGAACCAGCTGGTGATCTCGAACCGATTCAACAATTGCAGCAGAAGCGAATAAGTAGACGCATGCGACTTAATGGAGGGACCGTCAACTATAACGTGGAGAAATGGCAAGTACCTTTTTCATCTCTGTCCATTCGCCTATTGACATCACTTCCCGCACTGCTCTACTTACCGCTTCCTTCCTCCTTGCATCCTTTTCTCACCATCCCATCACCGCTGCCACTGCCATGGCAGATTACACAGCACTCAAGACGCCGGTCGTCGACATAGGCGGCAGCCCAGGAAGTCAGTTTTTGACTCACAAGGCCACACCGTCCGTAGCTATTCATGTCGTTCGCTTCTTCATTGCGCTGGGCATCGCTGTGTTCATCTTCGGAAACATTGCGACGTGGGCACCAATGTATGAGCTCCAGTTGTTGAACACGATGCAAGACTGGTGGAACGGGTACCCGAACATGCCCGACATGGGCAGCCACAGCCACGCTCTCTTGGACACGGGCATTGGACGGAACATCACGGAGACGGGTCACACGGAGATGATTCGTCCGACGTTCCTCTTCATCTTCTGCATCTTTCCTTTTATTGTCAGTGTCCTGCTCATTGAATACTTGCGCCACATCAATACAGCTCGACGCCTGACGTCGACGCTGATCTGGCGCTTTGCCATGCTCATGCGTCGTAAGCCAAAGTTCCCGGTACTCGGTGTATCGCGGTTCTCGGTGGGTGAGTGGATTTTTGGAGTCGTGTACGTGCTCGGTGGCAATGGTCTCTGCTGGTACTTTCAGTGGGACCGCCGCATCGACATGGCTACGGAGGCCGGCACTCTGGACACGACCAAGTACTGGAACATCGTCGGTATCAGCTCCTCGTACTTGTGTATTTACAACATGGCGTTTCTCCTCCTGCCTGTCACGAGAAATTGTGGCTGGATGGAGTTTTTCAACATCTCGTACGCCAATGGGGTCAAGTTCCACCGCTGGATAGGATTCATGACGGTTTTTACGGCTGTCGTGCACATGGCTGGGTACTGGGGCTCTTGGGTCCGAAAGGGCCAGTGGCAGGTCAACCAGCTACCGTGCCTTAACTGCGACTTCACGCTGGACAATTCGGGAGGCGGCTATTACGCCTGGTTCAACGTCTTTGGCTTCGTGTCCACGCTCGCACTCGTGCTTATGATCCCGACCTCGTTTCCCATTGTCCGCCGTAAAGCCTACGAGTGGTTCTACATCTCGCACTGGGTGCTGTTCGTTATCGCCGTGTTCTTTGCAATCCTGCACTGGGCTCAGATCATCTGGTGGATTCTGCCGTCAGGCTGCGTGTGGTTCGTTAGTCGGACTGTTTCCAGCTGGAATGCCATGACTCCCGTCTCAGTAAAAGAGTTTCTGGTCGTTGGCGATGGTGACGATGAGCTGGTCAAGATCGTCGTGAAGCGTACTGCACCAGGAACATCCCCCTCGTCGTCGTCGTATGACTACAAGGTCGGCAATTTTGTCTATTTGAATGTACCTCATATCTCGAAGCTCCAGTGGCACGCGTTCACTATTGCGTCTTCTCCAAAGTCGAGCGCCACCGACGTCGTTCTGTTGGTCAAGCCTCTCGGAGACTGGTCGAAGACATTAGTGCAGTACGCCTTGGTCTGCCACCATGACAACATCGCACCGCTGATGTACATGGACGGTTTCTATGGCGCCTCGCTGGAACTGTACGAAGACTACTCTACCGTCTGCTTAGTCGGCGGAGGTATCGGTGTGACTCCTGTCCTGGCCATTTTGGATGAACTTGCTGCCAAGCTGTCCTGCAACAGGGTCTCGTGGAGTCAGCGTTTCACCTTTATCTTCACATTCCGTGAGCTGAGCGTGCTCCAGACAGTTGCGCCCGTGCTTGCAAAGCTTCGTCAGTTGGATCCGCACGAGCAGTTCTTCCGCTCCCACCTGTTTGCAACGGGCACCTACTCGGACAGTGATCTCACCCGGAGATTGGACATCCTGCCGATGGAAGAAACCTTGGATGGAGCAGCGATAAAGTCCACGAGTCGAGAAGCTCGACCATTCTACGAGCCATTGCGCTCAAGCAACCTGATGCGCTTCGTCATGCTTCTTACGTTGTACGTTGTGTCTATTGCAGTTGTGTTTGCTGTCCGATGGGGAAACGGTATCATCCAGGGCGAAGACCGCTTCGAGTTGTGGCCGCTTGAGCGTGCATTCCAGCTGACGATGTTCTGCTTGACAATCATCGTCGTTTACGCTTTCGTATACTACGAGTACAAGACGTTTTGCCGCCGCCACGCAACGACCGAGTCAGTGCCAATGGCATCAGCATTTTATCCGTCCAACGCCACTGTTTTTGGAGGAGACGTCCACTCTGTCGGCGACCTACTTCGTCACTTCAACGCCAAGATGAACGAGCGCCCTAACATGCAGTACCTGCTCCAGCAGACTCTAGAGATCCACAAGATGGATGACAGCTCGGCGAGTGTTTTGCCCGTGGTCGGCGTCATTGTTTCAGGCCCCGAGTCATTGAAGATTGCAACGAACGAGGCCGTTTTCGCTCTGGGTGGAGGCCACTTTGACGTGCACGAAGAGGAGTTTGAGTTGTAGGTGCACGTCCATTATTGCTGCTTCATGTGGAAAACCGTTACAGCAGATAATAACGAAATAGAGCGAGCGCTCTGAAGCGGCTCTTCGTTCACCCCTGTATACTGTCCCAGCTGAGGTAAGTCCCCTTTCGAACCTGTCGATCACTTTTGATCTCGCCACTTCAAGATCGAGCAGTCGGTCGTGTAGCCATGTCGGCAGCGTTCAGCTCGCGCTTCCTTCGCGGCGCAGACGCTGACACGAAGAACGGGAGTAACGTTTGCGTTCGTGATGTCGTGAGTGACTACGAAGAAGACGATAAGTACCCTCCAAGCGGTTACGTTCGTCTCAATATGCCTCAAAAACCGCTGGGATCGAACACCAGTCCGCGGCGCTATGCCGGATCTTTACAACGAGACGGTACGGCGGCTTCTCCTAGAGCAGCAGACAGCCGGTCGAGTGGAAATGGTGGAGCTGAGAAAAACAAGACAACAGACGAACAGTCTGCGAAAGCGGTGAAGCCGCAGACATTCGGGTCGCTGTCCGACGGCCGGAGCAGTCGATCGACATCGTCGGTTCAGAGGAGCGCGAGGAAGAAATGGTACAATGACTCGGATGAAGAAGAGGAAGAGGAGAAGGAGCTGTTGGCGAAATTGGCGGATGCAAGAAAGAAAATGGCTGAACTAAGCAAGGTCAGGAGTGACCAAGAGGAGGGGTTGAGCTCGGATCTGGATTCGTGCGTTGAACGTCCATACGCCGAGCTGTCTGGAAAGGTCAAGGAAAGTCTAGTCTCGACGCCTTCCAAACGAACTCGATCAACAGCTGCACGAAACGGAACGGACCGGAAGGAGAACGTGCGTACGAGGGACAGCACATTTGACAGTAGTGCGGACAAAGCGAAGTGCTCGGAAATCTCAGCTGCGTACGATACCACACAGAAAGAGATGAACATATCGAGACTTTCGACAACGACACAGGCTTCGGCGCTTCCGGTTGGGGGCACAGAAAACGAATTGAACCGCAGAGAAGCAAAAGGCCTGATTGCCAATACTGTAGCTGCTGGTAAGTCTCCACGGGACACATGGCCAACATCAAAGCAGTCGGTGTCTCCTCAATCTGCCGGCGGCATTGGCACAGTGCAGCCGACAGAGGTGCAGACGGGAGGTTTCGGAAATGCCCCGACTATCATCATTAACCGTCGCACTGACCGGCTGAAGCACTGTGCCGGTGGATCCGAGTACAGTGGATCGCCTAGGGTAGGACCTGGCAGCAACGATGAGGTTCTCAGTCCTGGACCACGCAAAGTACCTGGAGCGTTTCCTGGAAGACCTGGTAGTGGCGTCCTGCTCGAGGGCTGGCTTCGTCTGAAACAGCGCCGTGGCATCAAGGGACTCAAGAAATGGAATTCGCGCTACTTCGTTTTGCACGCGAAGTCAAATGAGGTTCGCTACTATGCGGATGTAGTTCAATCGGCTTGGGGAACGATCCCGCTGGGTGAACTTGGATCGATTTCACTGCGGCTCATTCAGCGCATCGGTAAGCTCAGCCATCCCAGGTACAAGGGCTGCCACTTTGACATCACGTGCCGCAATACCTGGGGCACACACTGTACCGATGACTACATTTCTTCCGACGATGAGGACGGGAGCAGTAGCAACGTGATCAGCGCCAACACAAACGGCGACCTTACAGGGACCACACCTTCCAAGCAGGAAAAGGGTGGGACCCCGCGATCAACTCGAGTTTACAGCTTGGTTGCCGACTCGCCACAAGTCACGGTAGCATGGGTGAATATGCTGGACTCACTGCTGACGCGGAGTGCCAACAGCCCTCGACCTGAGGTGGGCTCACCAGTTGAGCCGACAAACACAACGCCAGTCGCGAATGTCGGTGCCCGATTCAAAAAGCATGTAGCACGACAACGGTGGAGTGCCATGGACACAGAGTCGTCTGTGCTATTGGGTCCTGGAGAAATCGTCCCGAGAGCTACTGTGTACGCCATGAACTTCATCTTCGAGTCGACGCCAGGTATTGAGACGGCCAAGTTCTACGAGCTTGAGCCAGACGCTGCGAAGCTAAAGGCGAGTTTACGAATGCGTCAACTCATACTCTCCGTCGTCATCTAACTAGCGTTTGTATGTGTCCAGATCGCCCTGAAGTTCCTAAACGGCTTTGCCGGTGAGGATGTAACTCGCAAACCGACTAAAGCAGACTTGAAGGAATTGCTGGACGCAGTGACCGCCGGTGCAGTCATCAAACTGTGGCTTAAGCAGCTACAGCAACCTCTGATTCCGTTCACAATGTACGACGATTTCAAAGTGCTGGCGCATGAAGCACGAGCCATGCCAGTTGATCTCCGCCAGAAGCTTGGCGCACTGCTCGAAGCTCTCCCCAAGAAAAATCTGTACGTCCTGCGTTATCTTTCCAACCCATGAGCACCACATGACTCACAACGAGCAATGTCACGTGTCCGTGCCACACAGTACGATGTTAGCCTGCGTGCTCTTTCACTTGAATGACGTCAACGTGTATTCATCCAAAAACGGAATGGACGCAGCAAGGCTAGCGCTCCATTTTGCCGCATTTGTTTTACGATCACCGAAGCCATCGCCTCGTGGCGGCGAGTCAAAAGAAGACATTGATGCTGTGCGCCATCTCGTGACAGAAATGATTATCAACGTCGACACGTTCATGGACGAAAAGGAAGCTCAACTTCTCGAGGATAATCAACTGTAACGAGCTACAAGAGCAGTGTGGTGCCCTCCGTCTCCTCGTCCATCGTCTAGCAATGCACCTTCATGTACACAATGTGCTTGCCTGGCACGAGAGTCAAGCCAAGCGAGCGACTGTTCGACGGCAGCAAAAGACCAGCGAAGCGCGTCTCTTCCTCTTGACCGCGTGCTTCTGCTTCTGCAGCAAGAACTGTCTTGCTCTTGCTGTTCTTGCTTAGCCCGGTGCGCGTCGGTGCAAACTCTCGCGCGTCTTTGAGCACCACGTTCTGGTGCTTGTCAAAGCAGTGGAAGCGGCCGACGATGACGCGGCCATCCGAGATGCGCAGTCGCACCAATGAGCCCAGGAGCTTCATGGGCTCGAGCGTTGGCTCGCCCACAGACGTCGGGGGATCCGCGTGCTGTGTTTCATTGACTTTGCCGTCTTTTTCCACGTGCAGCGTCACTTGAGGATGGCCATTGAGTGATAGCACAGCAGGCGTCTTGGCCAGGAATCCCATCATTTTTTGCTGGTGTATACTAAATTGTGAGCCGGAAAAGCGAAGCGATCGGTGGGTGTTGGTAAAATACGTATCATTATACCCTCGAAAGGTTCTTTTCTTCCTAAAACTCAGGGTATTATTAATTACATCCCACTTTTTGCTAATTACACCCCAAACACCACTCCCGCACTACACCACAATATGTCTTGTGAACGACGAATATCGCGCCATCCTACCTCTGTACGACCCCCTACTGTCGCACAACAATCTCCATTTGTCGTACAAATGATCAGTGACTATCAAATAGACTTCGTTTAGTACACAATAGACGATTCAAGCTTCTTGCTTTCGTAAACGAATTGATTGACAAACACGACGCACTCGTCACTACATGTCGGATACATCTGAATGGCTAGTTGTTTCCTCAAGAAATGAGAACAGCTATGGTTCAGTCGAGGATGGCACAAAACGGATGAAACAAAAGTTCACGTTAAACCAAACGTAATCGGATACGTGCGTCGCAGCGACAACTACTGCCAAGAACGATGAATTTATCATACAACAATGTGTACTTTTGATCGATCCTATCTTGGGTCTGCGTTAGTACCGGATCATTGTCGGTCAAATGATAAAAATGATTGTCCAGCTGCACGACACGCATCCGATCTCCGTCGTCCGATTTTGTGTGTAAGGTCACTTTTCGCCAGATGTCACAACACGCATCTTGTATTCGATCTAGGTCCTATCTAGTCCCGACAAGCTATGTAGACATCATTTGGATTCCCAGAACAAAATGCGACAAGCTGACATCGTCATGTTCACCCTGCAAGATGCTACATGCGCACGATATTTGATTTTCTTCACGAATTAGTTGCCTTGTCCTCCCTATTATCGATACAAATTCTGCCACGATAGCGGGTGACAAAGACTGAAGGCTTTTTACGTGCTCAATGGTGGTTTTTGACCGGCGCTGTGGTCATTGCGCAGATATGGGATAGACGGGTAAAATAGTTTACCATTTGTACGACAGATGCACATTTTTGCGCAAGAGTGGTCTCTCGAAGGTGAGTAGTCGCGATAATTGTCGTACAGACCCTATTATTGTGTAGCATAGGTATGGCGTATGAAGTATATCTACTAAAAAGTGGGGTATATTTAACATTACCCTAAATAAAGAGAGAATCACATTAAGGATATAAGCATACATAAATTAATGAGCGCGGCACAAATCGAAATCCAGACGATAAAATCGGGGCGAAAATCGAGGCGCAAAGCGGAGGCAGCGTGTAACTGGGTTACACAAACGGTTGTGATGACCAGATACACTGTCTCGTACACACAGAAAGAGATCAATCAGAAGCAGGCCAACCTAATATCAGTACCTCAGTTACTCTTTTTGAAAAGGTCAGTGATGCAAATTCTGAAGTCTTGAGTATCTGCGAGGTTGTTGACTCGTCCATCTTTGGTTTCTCATTGAGGCTATTAGCAGAGCTACCATGCACGAAAAAACGTACATCCTCTGTGACCGTAATTTAAAACAATATTAAAAATATCGTAGCTGCGTCTGGTCGCTGCTGGAAACGATGGCTTATGCTGCCACCGTATGACACGTGCGTTTTAACAGGCGCTCTAACATCCGGAACGACGGATCATTGTAAGCTGGATATTCGACAAAGTAATGGTCGCACATTCGTGGGTGGCTACTATAACAATTGCGATCGGGGTACATGTGCATGTCCTGGTGTGGATACACCAGAAAATTTGAGCGCTTATAGCAACTAACTGCTGCATTGTCATGGTATATTATTGTCATCTCTCCCTATAACATCCCCTGATATAACATCCTCCCTCTACAATTGGGGGCGGGAAAAAGGGAAGTTATAAAGGGAGCTGACTGTACTTGTGGAAACCGTCCGCACCACGCCATCATCAATATCGTATTTTTGTTATAACAATACTTGATTGGAGCTGTCATTTCTAGATAATGAGCATGACAAAGAAGTCGATGAAGACCACGAGCTATCCATTGGTATGCTCCATAGTTTACATATTGCTTAATGTCGAGGGTTTATGTCGAGTATTTAATTTAAACGGATGCACGAATATTGCAAAATTTTATTTGCTAATGTCATAACAGATAGGTTTTAAGCAAAAAGTTCTTCCCGGTGGCGATGCTACAACACGGGAAATTATGCTAAAGAACTGAATTATATTGATTCTCACGTTCGTATCTTGGATATTTAACGTTGGTGGATGAGGAAGGGATTATGCATTTGGCGTGTATCAGATACAGTGTTGCCGCAGTGGCTGTTTAAAATAGCAACTTGTTAATTAATTGATGACAAAAACAAGAGAAAATGGCTGATATCAATCATGCGGCAACAACAACAAAAACGAGACCGACGACGGAAAATGGATTGATAATGGGGACAAATCATGTAAACAAAATCAGAATGAGGAGGTGTCAATCAAAAAAAAGCTCTTAGTCTTCATTATTCGTACAGCACATAAATAAATCAGTATGCTTGTCAACTTCGTATTAGCTTAATCCCTGTTTCTTGTCTACTAAACGCATCTATGATGTTATCTCTCTACCGGGTATCGCAACTTTTCTAATTATATTTTACGTGAATTTACCGGTCGATAATTTGAGCTTTTAAAAGATCTCTACGTGTGTGCTCTCCTCGTTTTAGACCCCTCCTCTAGCTTTCACCTTTTTATATCTAGTGAGAGGGTTCTACCCTTTTGGAACCGTGGCACGGTACGGCTAGTTCCACTAAGTGTCCGCTACAATCATCGGGTAAGGTGTGTTGAAGTCACGAACCAAATGCAATTTGTCAACATCAAACGACCTTTGTCGTGCTATTTCCACTACCTTCCACACCAACACCCACTAACACCTTCTTAAATTTCCTTTCACCGCACACCTGTCGGACAAATGCCACCCTTTCGACACCGCACAATTTCCGCTTGATCGTTTTCCGTCATCTTTCATCTTTCGCTCCGTTTCTTCTCTCTCATTTGTCTCCTTTGCGCTCACCATGCCTCCACCTCGTCCCCTCCTACGTCTTTTATAGCTTGCAGAGCTACTCGTCGTCATCAATGGTAACTTTTCTTTAAATTTGCTCCTTCTGTTGCTAGTTCCTCGCGCCTCTTTTTTTAACGTCCTTGTTGTTTTTTGATACCTACTTATTTACTGTGGGTGGCTGGTGGAGAGACCGTTATAACTTCCATTTAAGGGTACAACTTGCTTCGTTCTAAGTTAGAGGACTGCAGAGTTGTTGCGCCGTGTATTGAGGCACACTTAGAGCATTACGGCTTCTAGTCGATACTCTTTTTGCTTTGTGTGGGTAAATCCTCCAGGGTTACTGTTTGTAAATCATACTCCAGATATTCACCTGCGTGAACTGCATTGGTTAAAGGATTCGTAATCACGGTTAAACCAAACCTTACATCTCGTCACACTGGAATTCCCCTCCGCTACCAGCGGACTATTTGCTTAAGACTAGCGAATCGGAGCTAGCTCTACAAAACTTCATCGATCTGCGTTCGATGTGTTTTAATCTCTCTAATGCCAACTGGTGCAGCGAGGCTGCATCAAATATTGTTTCCTTGTCCTCACACGATCAAGCGTAAGCACAACGTCGACGTTTCTTATTGAGCTTGCGAAAGACGACCAACGATAGTTGTAAAATTTTTCGTCAGGCTTGTCTTCTCCAAGACTTCAAGCTGATCCCGAATGCGGGGATCCGTTTACGTGCACGGTCTAGGAACTGCTTCTGAATTCAGTTTGGTAAGCCAAATGTGTCCGGCTCGCAAATCCCAATCAAAGAATTTTTAAAGTATGGTGCCTATTACTTTGTTAATCTGCTTAATCTGACGGAGTCAATAGACTGCGTAAGTTTTAATTGGTTTGGAGAACATGGTGGTATTTTGACGTGTCTCCTATACACGTTCATTAAAAAGGCCATCCCTCGCGAAAACGTACCGTTTCTTTTAGTCAAGATCAGGCGCCTTAATTCTTGGTCCCATCTCATCAAAGCATTCTTCGCGGGAGCGAATTTCCTTTACCTAAAAATGGAGCATTACGACTGCTTTATTATTTTGTCAACCACTAAGCGGCGCGTTGCAAGTGTACACCTCCGTCAATTCGACTTTGTCAGGAAGAAGAAGCCGCGCGCAAAGCTTCTAAATCTGCCGCGACCACGATCTACGATCAGGATCACCATCTAATGAGCCTATCCCAGATATTTGACTGGTTTCGGTTCGTCTTTAACGAATACTCTTTTCAACCGCTTTCTGATTCTTTGCGAAGTTCATTGCCGGATTCTTCGCTGGAAATTTAAGAATCAAGACCAAGGTCTAATTTCTGACATCTATTTTAAGCATGGCCTTACTTCTCTATCGATGATGGAACCTCGCCTTCGAATATGGATCACGATACCTTAGATGATGACTCCGCCTCGCCGGAGATTAAATTCAAGTAATTTGTGGGTAATGTTATTATAAACTTCAAAGTTTTGGCTTAGTGCTTCTCTATGGGCCAAAGAAGCTTCCAAACTAGGAGCTCTTTACGGAAGTTCTGAAGCCGATATGGTTGAGGCTAAGACAATCAGCTACGAATTTAAACTGAAGGAAGGTACAGCTCGATCGACCTTTTCAAGCCCAAATATTACATTCCGCTATGGCATCAAGGTTTATCCCGGATGTCGCTCAACGGCAGCATGACCTTGATGTTCGCCGCGAGGCGGATGAAAAGACTTATCCCAGGTGCATCCCTGTTACGACTGAAAAATTAGATTACGTCGCTATGGTAACTCCGCTTAATATAAGTTGCGACGTTTCGAATATGTCACACCTTGTACTTAACAAGTACATTGACTTGCTCTTACAAGACTTTTGCGCCCGTACCCCCCCCACAAACAGTTGGCAGTGGTTGAGTCTAGCATGGGACTTATTCTGCCGGATATGGCGTCTAAAATATGGCAGCTCTCGCTCATTATGTCTGCCGTCTTTCTAAT